TGTCTGGTCAAATTAAAATAAGTAAAGAAATGAAGTGAAATAAATAATTTTTTAAAAAAGCCAACACTTTATATATGCCTTATATCTCTCATTGAGGAATGTTTCAGGAATCCAGAGGGGAAGATACATAGTCCTCTTCATCCCCAAAGTCCTGTGTTCATCTGCTCAGGGGTACCTTGAGCATCCTTTGAATTGTAGCTTCATTTGTCCCCACCCCCTGATTTTCCAGCAGCCTCGGCTTAGCTGTAACTCCCTTCAGACTTACTCTTGGTCTGGGTGGGTGAAGTTCTCCCCAACTTCCTTCCTTCTCATTGGACTGTACTTTTTCATCTGCAGTGTATTCAGATGTAAAGAGTTTTGACTCTGAAGTCAGATCGCCTGAATCTTTTTTGTTTTGTTTAAGGTTTTTTTTTGTTTGTTTTTTGTTTTTTTTTGCATTAGGGCACATGTGCTCACCAGGGACAAAGAGACATAGACAGTGACAGGGAAAGTGAGAAATCACCCCCCCCCCCGGGGGATGACCTCATGGTAATCCCTTCTCCTCCATTCTTCTCCCAGGATCTTGGACATGTATGCACACACAACCGGCTTGAGTTTCAAGTCCCCGAGGCCGGGACTCGACCTGTGGTCAGCTATATGGGAGTCCAGTGACATGACCACCACACCACCGGCTGGCCCGAGATCGCCCAATCTAAATCCCACTTACTCATTGTATGACTCTGGCCAAGTGACTTATCTTTGCTGTGCCTTAGTTTTGTCTTCTGTAAGTGGGGATGGCAATAGTGGCTACTTCATAGATTTGGAGAAGTGAATGAGTTAATAGTGTCCAGGACTTAGATGTGCAATGATAAATGCTAGTGCTTCTATCATTAGTGAGCTGGTGTCTTCTCTTAAGACTTCCCCAGGTGTCTTACCCTCCAACATGGTATTATTTCCTGTATTCATCAGGAGACTTGGCTCATAGTAGGCGTTCAATAAATAGCTTGTACTCAACGTTGTGCTTGCTGGCTTCAGAGAAGGCAGGGAGGGATCCATAAATAGCTAACTTGCCCCAGGTAAGGACCCCAGGCAAGGGAGCAAGTCTCAGTTTCTCCTTTCTGTAAATGACAGACTAGGAGTCAGGATGCCCCATCCCTAAAAGCCTTTCAAGCCCAGCTCCTCTATCAGCTGCAGACTGAGGTGGGCAAGGGTAGGGGCGGGGCAAGGGTGGGAGAAGAGAAGCTGTTGTCCTTTTTTGGCTGCTGGAATCCTCAGTAGCCTTGGGCCTGGCCTTGCACAGTGGACATAAAAGGCATTGAGCTGGGCTTTGGAACCATGGGGGTGGGAGGGTGTCCTGGAGGACGGTTGCTGTGCAAAGTGATCTCAGAGGTGGGGTTCTGCAAAACACTGAAAGGGTCCAGGTAGACAGAGTTGGGGGCCTGGGGGCCTCACATTTACCTAGAGCTGCCAGGGCGTGGGAGGGAGTGCAGGAGCGTAGGAGTGTAGGAGAAGCTTCCAGATTCCCTTTGCAAAGGAGACTGTGATGTCACAGCCTGGGATCTTGGTCAGCCTCTGCCTCCTACCTGCCGGTCAGCCAGGCTGTGACTTGGTTTCTCAGAAGCCTAGCCTTTGTCCATTTCTGGGACGAGCAGGTGTCGTGAAGACCACAGGAAATGGTGTTCAGAGCGGGCCTAGTTCAGAACTTGCACAGGGTAGGTGGGCAGCGAGCGGTCGTTCCCCGCCCTCTCTAATTTGGAATGCGGCGGTTTCTAGAGCAAAATGACTGAAGCAGGATTTGCAAGGTCTGAGTTCTGGGGAAGACCAGAACCAAATGGGAGTTTATTAAACTGGGCCAGACCACCCCTCCCATGTGTCATGGCCATTATCCTGCTGGGTCCTTGCCTAGAACTTGGGGAGTTGGCATGTACGTGTGTGTGTGTATGTGTCGTGTGTGTATGCATTTGTGCACATGCGCATGTGTGTGTACCGTGTAGCCTCCGTTTCAGAGGAGAGGAAGTGGAGTTCAGAGAAGTGAAGTGACGGGCCCGAGAGCCCACTGTGGGTCTGCAGCTGCTCTAGAGCGTCACACCAGGGCTTCCGAGGCAGGGAGAGGTCAGAGTGAAATGGGGTGGGCACACGGACGAGGAGCTCTTAGACGGTAACACCAGGGCAGACCAGCTTTCCCTCAGGCCCCAGCATGGTATTCCCTGTGTTCATTCCTCAGTAGACTTTTGATTTTAATTGCCAGAGGGCGCATGCACTCTCCAGAGAGGGACAATGAGACAGAGAGAGGGAACAAGGGAGAGAGCAGCTCCAATGGGGCATGGCCGTGCTGCAGTCCCTTCTCCATTTCTCCACCCTGTTGGGATCTAGGACGCACACACGTGCCTCGTGTGCCTTTTAAGCCTCCAGGGTTGGAATTTGACTCCTGATCTGCCATGTGAGATCTGACTCCCTTAACCAGGAGGCCACAGAAAAGGCTCCGTTCCTGAGTAAGGTAACCCGCGTTGGCTCCAGGAGAGGGGCGGTGGCCAAGAACACTCTTCTGAGCTTGTGAGATACAGCCTATGAACTCTGTGGGCCCTGTCCTGGGCCCTGTCCTGGGCCCTGTCCTGGGATCTTTGTGACAGGGACCCTCCAAAAAGCACCTTCCTAGAGGTGCTTGCCTCCGACTGGGGACCCACTGCTTGTCCATTTCACCCTGCTTTACTGCCTTTTCTAACATATTAGGTCCTAGGATATCCAAGAACACAGGTCTGGGAGTCACAGACTCGGGGTTCAGGTCTTAGCTCTGCCTCGTTTCCAGGCCACAGTCTTTCCTTCTCTGAACCTCAGTTTCCCTGAGGTATTCTGGGGGTCATAACACTTTCCTTGTGCACTCAGTCAGGCTGTTGTGGGAATCTAATGAGGTGAGGGGTGTCGCAAACATGGAGGGTTGCGCGCAGATCTTAGTGAACACTGAGGTGAATGTCAGCATTCTGGAAAATCAGGAAGAATCGAAGTCCCTTCACATGTATCTCTCAGAATCTCCGAGCCCCAGGGCACAAGCCAGGAGACGTCCTAGCAATACACAGAGGCAAACCTGTCACTGCCTGGTGGGGGGAGGGTGCTTTTGCTGCGTTGTGAGGAGTGTTTATGGTTTGGCTAATGATGACTGGGACTGGTTTTCTAGGCGGGAGTGACTGCCTGAACATGGGCCTGGCATCAGGAGAGTGTGGGCGGCAGGATCCTCCCCATGGATTTGACTGGCTGGTACAAGGGCAATGAAGTTCAGACAGAACAGTTGGAGCCAGATTATGAAAGACTTGGGACCCCAAAAGGAGGAGTTTGGACTTTGTCATCTTGCAGTCCGTGGGGAGCCACGGAAGGTGTTAGAGCAGGGGAGTAATGGAATTGGAGGAGGCCCCTAGGAGGTGTGTAAGTGAGGGGATGGATGGGAAGGCTAAGCGGGGGAACAGAGCTTCTAGAAGAGCTTGTGGGGAGACATTCTCTCTGGATGATTCGGTGGCCAAAGTGGAATTGTTTTTATTTCAGGGACAGAAAGGGGATCCGGGGCTCTCTCCAGGAAAGGCCCACGATGGAACAAAGGTAGGTTTCCAAGGACCTCCCTTGTTCAGGGAAAAGGAGGGTGGACAGTCTGCAGTGAGCTTTCCTCAGAGCCTACGCCCGGCAAGGGCAGGGAGGCTGGAAGATGTAGGAAGGTCAGGGCACGTCCGGGTTTCCCTCCAAGTCCTTCGGCCTTTCCCAGCACCAAACCCAGGGCCATTCTTGGCTGCCTCCCTCCGGGTGCCCCTCCGGGTGCAGCCAACAAAAGGTGTGGCCCGCGGATGCACCTTGGGAGTGTCCTTTTGCCTCATGCCCTGGAGGGCTCTCTGCAGGGCCTGCAGGTGACCCTAGCACATGCCCGAGAACCTGACACATTCAGAGCTCCCCTGCTCTGAGGTTATTCATTTGCGCAGATTGGATGGGCCTTTGGACTTCTAGACGGTACGGAGGGGATGGGCGGGAGGCCCAGAGCTCCCTGACTCTGGAGGGCTACAAGGGCAGAAGCTTTGCCCACAGGAGAGAAAACACTTTGGTCAGAGGACTACACCCACCCCTGAAGCATCCACTCCTCTAAACCGGGGCAAGGGACCTGGAGAGAATGCAGGAGGGCTGGACAGAGCGGAGCCCAGAGTACCAAGAGAAGCCATCAGTCACCCTCAGAGGAACCTCAGCCTATCTGACTTCCTCTTGGACATGGCCCAAGAGCTGTCCCAAGACAGAGTGTTGCTTCGCGACCCAGCCTCCTGTGCGTGGGCACAGAGAAGTGGCTGCTGTCTGTGATCTCCCTAAGACCTGGGTGGCTCATTGCCTCACAACGTCACTACTAAGCTTTTCATTCAGCAAACATTTACCGGTGGCCCAGGGTCCTAGGACAGTGTCCCCACAGACTCCCATCTGGCTCCCATCATAACCTTACATACCAGGGAAGGTGGGCCAAGCTAGCAGATGAGGAAACAGAGGCCCCGGACAGGGGTGGCTTACTGGCAGTCACGCAGCTGGTAAGTGGTAGAATAGGCTTCAGACCTACCCAGTGGCCCGTCTTCTCTCCAGTTCCTGTGTGGCTTGCTCTCAGGTCTGGGGGTGGCGGCAGAAATGTCCCCTACTTGGTGACCACAAGGCCAGCCCTGATCAGGTGTCTCAGGCATGCAGGGAGAGAGAGCCAGCTGGTATGGTGCCTGTCCTCTGGAGCATGGTCTTCAAACGTGATCTCAGTATTGAGACCCGTCCCCTGGATGGTCTCATCTGCTGAAGTGCAGTATGCAAAATGGATCGGATGGAGCTACTGAGTGGAGTGCGGTGGGGGCTGGCACCCTGTCCATTCTGCTGTCACCCCAGTGAGCAGCCCCTGAACTCTGTGGAGGCCTCTAGGTCTCCATGGACCCCATTAAAAAACACCCAGCCATGGGCCAGCAGATGGCATGGTGGTTAAGGGGCTAGACTCCCACATGGGTGACCGTGGTTCAAGTCCCTG